TAAATATTAATAATTATTTGTATGTATGTATATTTCATTCCAATATAATATCTATTACTTTAGCTAGAAAGAGTCTGATGCAAGCCCGCGAGAGCACATGCCAAAAAACAAAAGTTTTCAATTATTTTATATAAATATTATTTAGAGATTGTACATAGAGTATTAGCCCGTTGAAGAGCAGTATATTAGCTCGAAAGTTTGCAAATTTAAAATTGATATTAACTTTTTACCTGATATTAATTTTACTTTTACAAATATTATGTCAATTTCTATCGAAATATAATTTGATATAAGACCTAGGGTTACGATATAATAACCAAAAGTTGATGAATTGGTCTCTAAGAAGGAAAGAGAAGAAAACCTGAGTCAAAGAATAAAAATGTGTCCCATAGATACACCGTGTGTGTTGCAACTTTGTATTCACCTTGATTTCTTCCTTCTTGGTGTTAAACACGTTCCCCGATCGGATTCCCATACTGGAAAAAAGTAAGATGCAAATAAAAAGTAAATAAAATTGAATTATCTTTAAAAGTAATTGTGTTTATTTATTTGGTATCTTCCTCGTAGTTGGGGATCCTGAGTACCTCCTCTCTCTCCCAAATAAACAACCAAGATATAAACAATAACAATGTTACACAAAGAGTGATACTATAAAAAGAGAATGGTACATAATCTGTTTTAAAAGAGAAAATGAAAATATAGCGTGGTGAGTTTCTTTTTATTAAAATTACAAGCTTTCAAGCAAAATGCTTTTCATCAGGTAATCAAAAAAAATATATATGTGGAGAGGTAAATACATCCACCTAAGTAAGATTTGAAAATTAAAATTAAAGCGGAATTGCCACGAACAAGCACGCATCAACACACCCAGAGAGCGAGCGAGAAATTCAGTTTAAAATAAGTTTGAAACAAATAAATTATATACATAATTCGGGAACACACTAATATAGAAATCAGGACTAAAGAACACAATAGAAACATCATGAACAAAGACAGCCGTTCCCAGATTTATCAGCACATGGCAGAAACACAGCATTCATTTGATTTCACAGACACCCAATGTATTTACAGTAACATAAGCGGAAAATATCAACGACTTGTCCTGGAGGCTTTGGTTTCCAATAAAATTCCAAGCCTCAATAGAAAAATAGAACTACCCCCGCAGTACATATCTTTTTGTAATAGCATGGACCCCGCATAGGGAAGTTTAACCTCAAGTGTGTTCCCGAATTATGTATATATTTTATTTGTTTCAAACTTATTTTAAACTGAATTTCTCGCTCGCTCTCTGGGTGTGTTGATGCGTGCTTGTTCGTGGCAATTCCGCTTTAATTTTAATTTTCAAATCTTACTTAGGTGGATGTATTTACCTCTCCACATATTTTTTTTTTTTTTTGATTACCTGATGAAAAGCATTTTGCTTGAAAGCTTGTAATTTTAATAAAAAGAAACTCACCACGCTATATTTTCATTTTCTCTTTTAACTTTTAAAACGTGGCTAAAGTATGCCTGAACATAATCTGTTTCAAATATAATTTTAAATAAATTTAAATTATCAGATATTATTTTGAATAAAGGGGAGGCGCATCAAACATGATGCAACACTTTATGTATATATACGAGAGGTATTAAGAACAAATTAGGCATAAATACCGGATGGTGTGCTGTGGGATTTTTTGCCAAATTGTCTCCAACTGTCGGGACAAATAGTCAACATTCCGGAATGGTTGCAATCACCTTCCCATCACGTCCCAGATGTGCTCTATGGGTGAGAGTTCTGGCGAACTTGCTGGCAACGGGAGAGTTCGGCAAGATTGAAGACAAGCCCATAGTAACACGTGTCATGTGTGGCCGGGCATTATCTTGTTGAAAAGTAAGCCCGGAGTGATGTGAGAGGAACGGCAACAAAACAGGCCATAGAATTTCATTTACATACCGTTGTGCTGTCAGGCTGTCAGGAATGACTACCAATGAGGGACTGCTATCAAATAAAATGGCACCCCAGACCATAATGCCCTGTTGTGGACCTATGTGGTGTCCGAAAGTAAGGCTAGGATCCACACGCTGCCCATGATGTCTCCAGACACGTTTGCGACGATCGTAAGGACACAGAAAGAAATGAGACACATCACTAAAGGCTATACGTCCCCATTCATCGCAGATCCAAGTTGATCGCTCCTGACACCACTGTAGGTGTATGTATTGGTGTATGGGTCTGAAGAGTTGGCAATCTTAACGATCAGCGAGCTCTTAGATTTCGCTCTCTCAGTCGTCTGTTCATGGTCATTTTAGAGTATCTGTCACAAGTTGGATAGTAGATAATGTTGTAAATTCTGTGATATTTTTAAAATTTTACTTTACTATTATCTTAAAAAAAACTATTTACAGATCTCTACGTGAAAAAAATAAAAAAAGGTCAGGTGTTGATATTAAAATTAAAAAAAGCATATCCTGACCAGGAGCAACATGTGCTTTACAGAAGGCAGAGCGCCATCTGGTGGAACAGAAATCAACTAAACATTGATTTAGCCTGTTCCTTGATATTTGGCCAATCCAATTTCTTGATAAATCAAGAAAAGCCATCCACGAACGCGTTTCGTGCTTTTGGCGATCGTCAGCGTGGAGTAGGCTGTACCACTGCAACCAAAAAGATTTTTGGTCCCAGTGGCTTCTTGAAAACCAAAAAATGGGTATTCAAGGCCAAACTTGCGTAAATACGCTTAACAAATGGAAAAATGATAGAAAAATATAAAAAACAAAATTGGCCAAATATTAGGGAACAGGCTAAATCAATGTTTAGTTGATTTCTGTTCCACCAGATGGCGCTCTGCCTTCTGTAAAGCACATGTTGCTCCTGCCATTTGCCTATGCCATTTTTTATTTTAACATCAATACCTGACCTTTTTATTTTTATTTTTCTATAATTTTTCAGGTGTTAAGCGTATTTACGAAAGTTTGGCCTTAAATACCCATTTCTTGGTTTTTCAAGAAGCCACTGAGACCAAAAATATTTTTGGTCGCAGTGGTACAGCTTACTCCACGCTGACGATCGCCAAAAGCGCGAAACGCGTTCGTGGATGGCTTTTCTTGATTTATCAAGAAATTGGATTGGCCAAATATTAGGGAACAGGCTAAATCAATGTTTAGTTGATTTCTGTTGCACCAGATGGCGCTCTGCCTTCTGTAAAACACATGTTGCTCCTGGTCAGGATATGCCTTTTTTTTAATTTTAAGATCTCTACATGCGCTCATATTTCGGGCTCCAGCGGCTGCAGAAAAGCAGACCACAAATTTATACATCTATGGCACATGTAGGGACCTAAAACTGTACCGGCAAGCAATAAATGTTGAAGGGGAAATTAATCATACTACTAATCATACTTTATTTAGAGAGGTTTAAAACATTTTTCTGAGTTCACAACAATTTAAAAATTAACATATAAGACTTTTAAAAAGAAAGCTTTAAATGTAAAACACTATATATATTAAAAACAAAGAAGGCATTTCCTGACCACGAGCACATGTGCTTTTTAGATGGCAGAGCCCCATTTAATATATATATATATACTAGCCGAATGACCCGGGCAACGCCCGGGTTTTACCCGATTAAATGCCTTTATTCAAATACTATTCGTTACAATTATAAATTGGCGCCATGGATGTCATTCTTGTGAAACGTCCCGCTCCAAACTTTGTGTCTGAGAAGCGATATTTTTATAAAGAGATGATCTGGCTTTGTGTCTTCTGCTCGAATGAATGTTCTTCTGTTAGAATTTTTTTCCTGCATACTAAAAATGAACTGGCTTCACCCGTGGTCTCTGCTTTTTGGAATTTTTCCGGATATAATTTTGTATCTGATAATCAAATATGATACAGCAATATTGTCATAATCATTTTCTGACAAAAAAAAAAACAACTATTTTTGCCCAGAACCTGTCAATTTCAATTTTTCTTAGCTAAAAATGCGACAAATATCTCTTCCATATTTTTTTCTATGTCCTGTTAAAATACGTTTTACATGTACATTAGGTCAGCTGATATTACCTCCCATCTTCACCGCTAGAGGCGCTGCTTGCGAGCGAAAGAGGAAATTTGCAACTCAAATTTGCAAATAACTCGAAGAATATTCAGGATAGAGACCTGAAATATTCAATATAAGTTTTTCCAGATTCTACTATACATACTGCTAAAATTTCAGTCATATTAGTTATGTATTTTACGTATATTACGTAAAAGCATTCCATTCACAAAAGCAAACGGTGACAGAATTGATTGATGACTCTGATAAATATAATATTAGATAATAATATAAATGAGTTTTAAAAATTGTAAAAAAATGCATCGGCCGGGAATCGAACCCGGGCCGCCCGCGTGGCAGGCGAGCATTGTACCACTGAACCACCGATGCTTATAAGAAATGGCCATATTTCGGTATTTATTCCATTCACAAAAGCAAACGGTGACAGAATTGATTGATGACTCTGATAAATATAATATACTAGCCAAATGACCCGGGCAACTCCCGTGTTTTACCCGATTGAATGTTTTGTTTCAAATACTATTTGTTACAATTATAAATTGGCGCCTTAAATAAATGCATATATTAGTTAATAACTATAGGCTATGTGCTTTATCTGTCTATGTACTGTTGGCTTCCGTAGGTGTCTCTTACTGGGAAAAAGAAAGAGAGGATTCCATTTAGTTATTAACTAATATATGCATTTATTTAAGGAGCGACCCGCTCCAACACAATAGTTACAAAAACCAAAAAGCGAGTGGGGGGGGGGGGGGCAAAGTCAAAAACAAAGTGTCTCGCGTAGTGGCGGCGCCATCGTAGCCACGTGATCGTAGCTAACCAAAAGGAGAACGCCATTCCAAAAAAAAAAAAGCAAACGGTGACAGAGATGACGCATGACGCTCGTAACTGTATATAGAATTAATATTTAATAATAGGTTCATTTACATTCATATTAAAAATATTTAATGTCAAATTTTTGCACAGCAGAGTGGCGCAGTGGAAACGTGCTGGGCCCATAAGCTGTGGATCGTGTGGAAGGTCTGTGGATCGAAACCACGCTCTGCTTTTTTTTTTATTCACAAAAGCAAACGGTGACAGAATTATTGACGACTTGTTGACGAATTGTTGATGACTCTGAAAACTGTATATATTAATATAGGCTATCATCACTCTTCTCTCTGTCAAAATAAAAATAAAATCTTTAAAAACTATAAAATCGAAAAAATTAAAATATATTAAAGAAAGATTCACAAAAAAATTAATAAATGAAGATTAAGAAGTATTGAATTTTAAAAATAATCAAAAAATACAATTAACATGGTGGGATCAGGGCATCTTGGGATCGGCTTGGAAAAGGTTCAGGGCTCGTGGAGGAGCTGGTGTTCTGCATGAAGATGGTGATTTTAACACCCACCATGGATTTATGTCTAGCCCATAGGCATGCTGGAGTCTGGCTTGGTACTGGTGAAGTCAAGTCAAACACCATAGGTTAGGTAGCTCGATCACAGGGAAGGGACATCTGAGTCCACCTTGGATTCTGGCTTGGGTTCAAGTCAGCCACCATGGGACACGTGGCTCGACCACGGGGAAGGGCGCCTGAGTCCATATCAGACTTAGCTTGGTGTTGGTGTGGTCAGGCCATCCACCACTAGTCAGGTGGCTTCACTACAGGGAAGGGGCATCTGAGTCCATCTTGGACTCTGGCTTGGTGTGTTGGAGGGGTCAGGCCAGCCTCCATGGGTCAGATGGCTTGACCATGGGGATTTCAGTCTCTGGCTCGGTGCAGTCAAGGCTAAAGGCGGCTTCAGGCTCCATCTCTATACCTCACAATCACTAGAGGTTTGCAGCTTAGATTGGGGAAAGGTGAGACATGATTAGGTTAGGTGGGGGTTCTGAGTGATTGTGACATATAGTGGTCACGAGTTGTCCTAACAATGTCGAATCCAGTGCTACGACAGTCATTCTGTCAATCGCTCTGTCTTCTCGTTCTGTTGTGTTCCTTAGTCGAGCGCTGCCATCTTGACGTTGCATTGTTTCGTTGTTGACCCATTCTTGCCAAATTCGCCTAATAGCCACATAACTTCGAAACTGATATCGCGCGATTATTCAATTTGATCAACCAGTCTCTTTCAATCTAATGGCACGACCTCTTTCAAACTTTGACATATGTTTATAGAGAGCACAAATATTTTGGCCAGGCATTGATATAGGAGAAATAGGTTTAATGCCAGAAAATTAAATGGATATTTTGAAAATCAGTTTGTACCACGCCAAATATTCAGTCTACAAAATTAGTGCTGGATGCGCAATTCAGATGCACTGGAGCTCTTACTTTACATACATTCATTCACCAAGTTCCAATCATTTGCACGTTTGGTCGAACTCCGAATTTTCATATAAGGAAAACTTTTTCTTAGTGCACCGATTTTTTGTTATAGATTGTAAATATTATAAATTAAATAGAGAAATATTTCAGTCAAAATGGAGTTATAAATTTTTGAAGAAGAGTTTTAAAAAAATAAATTATATAACTATATTCATATAAAATTATATTAATTAAAAATCCAAATATTTGCTTTTTTTGCGGGAAAATATATGCATTAAAAACACTGCTGCCAGCTAAAGTGGTTTAATATTAAAAAGCCTTATTTTTAATGAATGTGAAATTATAAGAAATGCTACATTTCCGTTTAATTAAAATTTACATAAAAGGCACGAAATGGAAGATTTTTTCAAAGCACTTAAAACTGAAAAAGAAGTACAAAAAGAATCACTCGTGGTGACTGATATATAGCTAGCAATAAATATGTATATATATATGTTTCTATGAAAATGTTAATCTGCAAGACGCAGGTTATCATCATCCCTTTTTGATTTGTTTTTGTCACTTTTTGGCGTTCCGAAAATAAACAATAAAAGGCTGTATCAGACTTTACTAAGACAATAAAGATTTGCTAAAAATAAATGTGTACGAAGATGTTGCATTTGGCGACGAGGATATAAGAGTAAGTACCCTCGAATTTTGAAGAAAATATTTTTAGAAAATATCTTTGATTTTGCATATAATTGAAAGTAAATTTTAAAGGCACAAATTGCAAAGTTTTAGGATGCAAATTTAAGAAAGAGTGTAAAAAAAAAATGGCTAGTTACCAATTTAAGGAATATAATGAGGAAACTGAAACTTTTGAAACGTTTTATGAACGATTGGAACAGTTTCTCATATTGGAGGAGGCAGGGGATGAGAAGAAAAAGGCTTATCTCCTAACCCTCATGGGAAGTAAAACATATAGTGTTTTGAAGAATTTGTGCAGTCCTATTCTACCTAAAGATAAAACTTTTGATAACCTAATAGATATCTTGAAAAGGCACTTCTCTCCAAAGCGCTCAATTGTAGTAGAGAGGTTCATTTTTTTTAAAAGAATGCAATTAAAGGAAGAAAGCATCTCGGATTACTTGGTGGAAATTAAGCGTTTGGCTTCCTCATGCAACTTTGGAAATTTTCTGGAGGATTCTTTACGTGATAAAATGGTTTGTGGATTATATAATGCCAAAATACAAAATAGAATTTTGTCGGAGGGCGACATTTCTTTAGCTAAAGTAATTGAGATAGCATTATCTATGGAAGCGGCCGAGAAAAATACAAAATTATTTCACTTGGAGCAGGGTGAAGATTGTGTAGATAAGTTGAGGATGGAACGCAAGGTTGAATCAAATTTCCAGAATGGCAAATGTAAACATTGTGGTAAACAGCATAAAGAACTATGTAGATTTAAGGAGGCGATATGCTTTAAGTGTAATAAAAAAGGACACATTGCCTCAATATGTTGGAGCAGTAGAAGAAATCTAAGGCAACATCAGAATCAGCCGGGAAATATACATCAGATAGGAGACCAAGAAGAGGAGGAAGAGTATGTCCAGAAAATTATAAGCGTGACGATACCTGAGTATAAAATTAATTTTGCCTCAAGTGACCCTCCCTATCTGATGGAGTTAAAAGTAGAAGGAAACTTTATTAAATTTGAAATGGATACGGGTAGTGGTCTAACACTGATATCAGAAAAGGATTTTAAAAATAGTCTTCAACACTTGAAATTGGAAAAAGCGAGTATTATTGTAAGAACTTATGATGGTACCGTGGTACCCATTCTAGGTAAAATCAATGTCAAAGTGGAGTGTCAAGATATTACTTACAAACTTAGAGCGTTGGTGGTGAAAGGAGAAAAGAGGGCTTTGATGGGAAGAGAATGGATAAATAGATTGAAATTGGGCTGTTTCGCGGTAAAACATATGCCTGTGGAAATTACCATTGAGGAAATTTTGAAGGAAAATCAAGCCCTATTTGTGGAGACAACTGAACCAATAAAAGGTTTCACATTTTCAGTAAACATGTGTGATGTGAATAGGATAGGGTTTTGTCAGGTATAGGAGGCGTAATTTGTTATATTGATGATGTCCTTATAGCCACAGCATCAATTGAAGAACATCTGGCGTTGTTGAAGACTATATTTGCTCGCTTGGCGAAGTATAATATCAAACTAAAGAAAGAAAAATGCCTATTTTTGCAAAAAGAAATTGAATATTTAGGACATCTTGTCACGGAAGAGGGCATCAGACCTTTAGATCATAAGGTACAAGCAATACAGAAGGCCAAAACGCCTACGAATATCTCTGAATTAAGGTCATTTCTTGGTTTGGTAAACTTTTATGGGAAGTTCATACCCAATTTGCCAGAGCTTTTGAAGCCTCTTCATGAGCTTCTTCACAAAAAAACGTCCTTGGGTTTGGACAAAGGAATGTGGAGAGGCCATTGACAAGTGCAAGAATAGCATTACCTCTGAGAGGGTGCTAGTCCCTTATGATGCGACTTTGCCATTGTGTTTGGCCACTGATGCATCGCAGATTGGAGTGGGCGCTGTGTTGTCACATATTATAGAAGGCCAGGAGAGACCGATTATGTTTGCCTCACGGACTTTATCGGTAGCAGAACAAAATTATTCTCAGATTGAGAAGGAGGCTCTAGCCATTATTTATGGAGTTACCAAATTTCATCAATTTATTTATGGAAGAAAATTTATTCTTATTACAGACCATAAGCCATTGGTGACCATTTTGGGCTCAAGATCAGGAATCCCCACCTTATCTACTTCAAGATTGCAGCGTTGGGCGCTTATTTTGTCAGCTTATACTTACGATATTAAATTTCGAAGAACTCAAGACCATGGGAATGCAGATCTTCTGTCACGTTTTCCTGTGGGCTGTGAAGAAATTCCAAGATTAAATAATGTCTATGCTTTATCCTATGTGGAAGAATTGCCGATCACGGCAGAGGAAATTGCCACGGAAACTGAAAAAGACGAAGTGCTCTCATTGGCCAAATTTTATACTCAGCAAGGCTGGCCTGAAAAGGTGGCTGATCACCTCAGACCTTATTTTCAAAGGAAACTTGAGCTAACTGTAGATGGGGAGTGTTTGGTTTGGGGAATGAGAGTTGTCATTCCACCATCTCTCAGAATAAAAATGTTGAACTGTCTTCATGAGACTCATTCCGGTATGAACAAAATGAAGGCTGTAGCAAGATCACATTTTTGGTGGCCAAATCTAGATACCCAAATCGAGTTTTTGGTAAATAAGTGCAGAAGCTGTCAGCAATCCCAGGATGGGCCAAATAAAGGAAAATGGCAACCCTGGAAATGGTCAACCAGACCTTGGCAAAGAATTCACATTGATTTTGCAAATAAGGAAAACATTAATTTATTAATAGTAGTAGATAGTCATTCAAAGTGGATCGAAGCCATCCCAATGAGAGAGACCACCACACGCAAAACCATTGAGCAACTACGGCGACTTTTTTCTTCCTATGGTCTACCGGAGGAACTTGTATCTGATAATGGACCTCAGTTTACTGGTAGTGAAATGAAAGGTTTTCTGGAAGGAAATGGAATTAAACAAACATTGATCCCGGCGTACCACCCGCAAAGTAATGGCTTGGCTGAAAGAGCGGTTAGAACAATTAAGACTGCCCTGGATAAAAATAAAAGGAAAATTGGGGATACCATTCAAGACACC